GAGGGGGCGCTGTGAGGGGGCGCTGTGAGGGGGCGCTGTGAGGGGGCGCTGTGAGGGGCGCTGTGAGGGGCGCTGTGAGTGTGGTAAGGCCCTTCAGAGGATGCACCACGCGTCTAGTCACTGTGTGGCACCCTAGAGGGGACCTCAGACCCAGTAATGAAATGTGCCTTTCCGATGTCCCACTAAATGTGCAGGAGTCCTGATTCTGCGGACAGTTCCACTGAACAGGTGCCCTCTGTGCCAAGAGACCTGCAGTAACTAACCAGTCCCAGGAAGAATGTCTCGTTTGCATCTTGTCTAGTAGCGACACACTGTCACTGCAACTGTGATATTCACTTTTTTTCTCCTTCTAAATTACTCAAGGCGCTGCAAACATCTGATGTAAGGAAAATGGGCAGGTGACCTAGAAATCATTCATTAGGAAAGACCCCAGTTCTTGTGAATCATAAATAAGCTCTGGGGCCCCAAGTACCCCCAGCTGCGAGGTGCCACAGTGGTGTGACGGAGTCAGCATGAATATCCTTTGAGGGCTGATGGGCTTTTAAAAGACCTTTAGGAAAAGGCTGTGACAAGTCCTGGAGCTCAGTCAAGACGGTGATTAAGAAGAGGGAGATGGAAAGCGGCATACAGAATGGGTTTGGAGCAGGACGTCCCGCCAGGTCCAGCTGCTGAATGCGGCATGCAGGCTCAGGCAAACCCCTCAAAGGCCGAGGAAAATCGAAGAGTTCGGCTGAAAATCCTCGTTAAGTCCTGAACAAAGAATATCCAGCAGACAGTACAGGTTCCACAGCTAAATTGCCTAAACACACCTACTTTTTTTATTTTATTTTTTTGCTTTCACATTTATTTGAGCCTTTAGCGTTTGCAAAGGGCATTTAGTGAATATAAAGTATTCACACATCCTTAGGTCATCTCCTCCAAACAGCTTAATAAAGGCTACTGAGCACCAACATGAAATCCCACTGCTCTGCTCAGAAAGTCATTCTCATTCTAACATGACCTTTAATCATTAGCTCTCATGGCTATTTTTGACACTAATAAAAACAAAAAGTACATATTAATTTGTCAAATACGTATAATCACAGCATTCCCATAATGTACCTATAACACCAGAATAAAATGAGAAATGGGAATAAGAATCCGGCTTCAGCTCATAAACCACAATGCTGGAAAGGTAAAAGGACAGACTAAAAGTGCTCCAGCTGTCGGGATCTATATTAATGCGCTATTCTCTCAACTTCATGCTATTTGTAAGCAGGTAACCAATGGCATTTTAAGCATTATACCCGAACAAAGAATAAAACATCACAAGCGAAGATTATTGCATCCATCTATTCATCCTTATTCTAACCTCTTATCCACAAGAAAAAAAAAACACCGGGATCAACAGTTCATCCCAGATGAGGGCGCTACACATCTATCGATTAATAATAAATAATTTCTCGAAATTCTGGACGGTTTCAGGAGAATATCCGCTTCTCGTTCGTTTGGAATAAGCGCTGAGTATGAGGTGCACTGGCGCCTCGTCCTTTTATCGGATGACAATGCTGATAAGCAGGCGGTAATCGATCACTGTCATTTGTATTTAGCCGAGCACCTACCGCACGTGAAAATCAATCCCCATCATCACTAAAAGCTACTTTTAAATTACCGAAGACGGCTGATCACGAAGGCGACGGGCTGGACTGGGGGACCCGGCAACGTGCGCGATGTGGACGCGATGGGACAGTGACATCTTCACCCGGTTTTCACCCCGCTCTCACCCCGCTTTCACTCGGCTTTCACCCGGCTTACCTCGGACGGTGGCCGCAGCCAGCGAGAGCGCCGCGCAGAGGAGGGCAGCGGCCAACTTCATGACACCTTCCCACACAGCGGCACCTCCCAGCCCGGGGCTACTTCATTCTCATCGGACGGGACGCAAAGGGAGAAGAGCAGCCCGAGAGCGATGCTGTTTCCGCGAAGACGCCCGGGGACGTCCAATGCAACCGTGAGACACTTTATCCGCCGCGCCGTTATTCTGCTTATCAGCGCCGCCTCCCCCGCACTGATGTCCCATTGATGTGGCTGCGCGACCCGGCGGATGGTGAGAAGCCGGCCGAAAGGGAGGGGCGGACTCGGGGAAGAGGAGGTCTGGGAGGGGGGAGTACGGCGCTTTTAACGGGCAGCCAATGGTAACAGCATCGCGGGGAAGATGAAGGGAGAATGGAGGAAGAAGGCAGAGGGGATGAGCGGAAGGCTGACGGATGGGTTGAGGATGAGTGGGGCATAGCACCAGCTGGAGAATGGATGTGGAATCGTGGGGCCAACAGGCAGGAGTTCTGCAAATGTCTAAGACTACTTAGCTGGGAGTGTAATCAGTTAGTTTGTGTATCTATAATCAGTTTTGTCAAGAAAAAATGTTCATATAATGTTTTTTAAATGCTGTGTGTTGTATTGGCCCAGATTGCAAAGATTTTTATTTTATTTATTGTATTCAGAGGCAAATTTTCAACACAATACAGGGTAATGAGTTTTTTTCTGCATAATAAAATGGATTTCACATACGGCCGGCATGGAGCTACATCACTTCCTGTTTTCTAAGCTGCACGGGAAGAAGGTGCAGGAGGAAACCCCAGCTTCTACACCATTTATCATACCGCAGGAGGCAGTGCCATCCAGTCGCACGTGCTAATTGTGTAGGTTTGTGCATCATTCTCGTGCGAGTTGAAAGGCACGGGCATTAGCTACTGGCGGCTGGTGCCTTTATGAAAGCATGCATTATTTAAGCTCATGTAAACCTGGAACTGCAACCATTGTATCCATCCGTTTTCAGAGACCACTTACGCAGCTGGAGTCTGAAGCCGCGTCACCGTGCACAAGGTGCGGGACTCGCCGAATGGGACACCAGTCCATGGGATGGAACTCGCAGACATTCATTCAGGACCACCCTGTGAAGCATACGGCCCTAACTGTGGGTGGAATCTAAATTAAAATAAATTAAAGTAGACCTCTGAGTATGATGCCCCTCAGCATGTATTTGGACTGTGGGGGGGGGGGGGAAACCGGAGTACCAGGAGGAAACCCCACCAAGACATCCAGTTTGAACAGACTGTTCCCATAATAATATCACTGAACCAGTTTCCACATCAGGGGAAGGCAGTGCTGGTCAATTCATTAAGCGACATTGGTGGCTGCCTAGGGCACCATCTTCTGAGGGGGCGCTGCCTTAGCGAGCCGATTGGCGGTGAAGCTGGCCTAGGGCACCATCTTCTGAGGGGGTGCTGCCTTAGCGAGCCGATTGGTGGTGAAGCTGGCCTAGGGCACCATCTTCTGAGGGGGCACTGCCTTAGCGAGCCGATTGGCGGTGAAGCTTACCGGCGATGGAGCCTGGCTAGGGCTTTATCAGCACTGGGTGAAAGGAGGGGGGGGGTGTTTAAAGGGTGCCCAGTATTGCTGGCTGTGCCAAAGGCCTTCAAGACCAAACTTTATGCAGATGATGCAATGACTCCCACACAGGCAGTAAAAATCAGTTTAGGAGGAAGTTCTTGGTTTCTGGAGTGAGATAGTGAATTATTGCTACTGTATGTGGGATGTATAACTGTGCATGACTGTGGTATTCAAGAGTTCTGCGGTTGATTATGGCCTGATGGTCCATCATATCTATCTTTACCCCTTTTCTTGGGAACTGACACAGATCTTCCTCCATTTTACAGGCAGACTTTCCATGGTTTAAATCAGCATTTCTCAGTCCAGTCCCAGGGGACCCACAGATGTGCTGAGGCTGGGTTGGAACCGGCAACCTTCTGACTACAGGCACACAGGAGTAGCCCACTGAGCCACACGCTGCCCCAAAGTAGAGCTTCCCAGTACAGTCCCTGGGGAGCTGCAGACAGTCCGCGTTTTTGCTACTTTCCTGGGAGGGAGCAAAAACACAGACAGTCTGTGGGTCCCCGTGGACCAGATTGGAAGACGCTGGTTTAAAGCTCTTTGTGAAATGCACAGTTGTAGCTGTCAGTAGGAGGAGGGTTCTGGGGTGGAGCAGAGTGGACCTGAGGTACGCGTGCGTTAGTGTGTTTATGCAGCTGGAGCCACGATGGCAAGGTGGACGCATCATCAGAGACGGTCTGCTCCCCAGTCCCTTCCCAATCCCAGGCTAATTAAGGTGCTAGATGCAGCCGCCGGTCCGATGCCTGCCGGCCTCCAGCCTCATCCTCCCGCTTGCATCACACTGGGATGCTGTTCTTCCTGTCAGCGCTTTCCTTGGCTCCACTCTCACTCTTCCATCTCTTTCCCTTCCCAGCTCACTCTGCTGTGACTCCAGCCTCCTGCATGTCATTTACCACAGTGTAAACACACTCAAACACAGCAAAAAAACACTGAAGGACTTTTCTTCTTCTTCTCCTTTCAACAGAAATCGACTTGTGTGCTCGCCCATGCTCGAGCCATGAAACCGGCAAGGCTCTCCCTCATTAAAATGTCGTCATCCAAACCCTTTTCCTCCATAACGAGTTCCCCAGGAAGTTTACATCAAGCAACATCATAAAACGGCATGTCGAGGATGGGAAGCAGAAAGCTCTGTCGATGAAGCAATACTTTGAGAATCTGACGTAGTCTACCCACGACCAGGGATAGGAATTAAACTCATCCACTCGCCCGAGGCAAGTCATTTAGACAAAGGGAGAGTACAAGAAGCCCAACATTAGCCCGCTAGCTAGTAAAAAAAAAAATGCATGAGGGACTAGAATTTTTACTGAACTAGCTCAGGTGGCTAAGAGCAAAAATTCTTAACTTTCACACCTGCCCACAATATTGTGCCTTAGGCAGTTGAGTCCTCCGTTGCTCTATAAAGACTTTGAACACAACTCATCTTAAGCCAATGCATGCTGTATATGGTATAAAATATATTTTGTCAAAATTGCCCTGTAAGTAGCTGAAGAGCTTAATGATGATATTAAGGAGGCTGATTTATTTGGGACTCTGCAGCGTCTACATGAGCACGATTCCCTGAATTGCCCTCATTTGAGCCAAGACTCAGGCCATGTGTCTCGCATGGAAAAGCATAAAATCCAAAGTCCAGCGACGTTTCACACACTGTCCCTATGATTTATCTCCCAGCTGATGCTACATCATACTGTCATTTCCATGCCACGCTGCCCTTTCCCATTGACACAATGACCTTCTGTTACATCTCAGAGTGGTTATGCTGTCATGAAGGCTGCTATGTTTAGCAGACACATTCTAGGAGATAATGTTGTTTTATTGTTCATGTTAAAGGCCATGGAGACGGGGGGGGGGGGTGGTTTAAGTGGTGATGAGCTTGCAGACTGGAAATGTGCTTAGCTGAACAGTGCTGATACAGCGTTTAACAGGCGTGCTTAAGGAAAATATGTGATATGGGTATATTTATCATCTGGTAGCCCAGACCAGGATAAGCAGCAGGAAGATGGATGGATGGATGGATGGATGGATGGATGGAGCTCTGACAGGAGCGTCATTCGGTTGCATGCTGCTATTTTCCTGCTGCCAATGAAATAAATATGTACACCGTTACAGAAGATCATCTATTCGTTCAGAGAGGTTAATATATGTAGGATTAAGAAGGTAACACTGCAATGTCATTCCAAGCACATACTTTACATCATACACCTCACCTAAAAAAGATTTATTTAAATATATTGTATAAAACTTCAGAGACAGTCCACTAACAAGCATGAACTTCAGCAAACCTGTCAAATTTTGAAGTTTGCATATAGCGTTAAAAATTCACTCAGCCAGGATTTTTGGCTCCTTACCTGAATGGGTGTATAGCCAATCACAGCGAGGCTGCATCAGCCCGAAACCTGCAGCAGTCCCACCTGAATTATCATTGGCCCCCTGGTGTCCCGCCCCCATTGCCAGTGGCCTAGAGAACTGTCAATCTGACAATGCTCAGCGCCATTGGATCAGAGTGCTGTCAAATGCTCCCTGATTCTGTGACATTCGCTGCCTGTAAACTTGACAATGCTCAGCGCCATTGGATCAGAGTGCTGTCTGTAGCTGCTTGATTTGGGATGCAGAATCATGATACCAGATTTTTCAAACAGGAAAAGAGACACAACATGAATTATAAAAAGTCAAAACATGCACGTTGGAGGGCCGACGGATAACACTTTATGCTCTATAGGCACATAGGTCAATAATAATGATGATAATAATAATGATAATCAAATCGTGCTCAGTGTTCAGCCAATTCTCAATGCTGTATTTATTTCAGATGGAATTTTCTGATTTCCCCTGAGTCCCCCTGACTGGCGATTGGTCCCCCCCTGAGTCCCCCTGACCGAGGATTGGTTCCCCCCTGAGTCCCCCTGACTGGCGATTGGTCCCCCCCTGAGTCCCCCTGACTGAGGATTGGTCCCCCCTGAGTCCCCCTGACTGGCGATTGGTCCCCCCCTTAGTCCCCCTGACTGGCGATTGGTCCCCCCCTGAGTCCCCCTGACTGAGGATTGGTTCCCCCCTGAGTCCCCCAGAGGTGGACATTTCAGGTCCAGAAAGTGCAAATCCAATCCAGGATTTTGTTTCAACCAACCATGCAGCATAACGAGTCACAATCACAGAGTACTCAACTGATTGGATGAAAGAAAAATCCTGGTTTGGATTTTTACTTTCTGGACCTCAACTGTCCGCCTCTGGTGCCACCCCTTTAAAAAAATCCTATAACCGCCCCGCCCACATATTCAGCCGTATTGCTGGGAGCAGGAGGCAGCTGATGGTGGGGGGGGGCGGAGGGGCTATACCCCAGCCTATGTTCTCATAAGCTTATGCCTGACCTGATTTACTTCGGTGGTCAGGTGCAGAAACCGAACACGGGAACCCCGTGAAGAGTTCCGGAATGTGCTCAAGCGACCTGGTTCATCTGCTCCGTCAGTAACGGCTTCTCATTTTAGCATGAAATTGTGGGACAAAGACGGAAAAAGTTCAGAATAAAGGTAGGAATTTTCCAACGAATGTCAGCCCCACTTGAAAAAATATAAATATTTCCCTTTATTTTGCCTACTTACAGCTATTGACTCGTTTGCGATTTTGGTGAGAGCTCCTTGGGTTTTAAGGCTGAAAATAAAAGAAAATCAGGGACCAGGCTTGTGTCTGCTATTCTTCCCAAGCTGACGCAAGTCGAGGAATGAAGAGCGGAAAGGACAAACAACCAGCATTTGTCTTTGCTAGCGAAGAACCATCTATTGAGGCGAAAATGTACCACAGAGCAGAGTTTTCGCAGGGCGTAAATAAAACTCCTTATATAAGACACTATTTGTGGCTCTGGAGCTTGTAAATTTCACAAAGAGCACCTCCTAGTGTTTGAGCCCGAACGCTTCAAGAAGTCCAGGAGAATCCCAACACCTG